AATGAGAGGGACATATACAGAAGGACTGCAATCATTTGTGGAGTACAAAATAACATGAAACAGACACCCAAGGACAGTAGACACAAGGGCCAGGAAGATTGCTCCATAGTTGGAAGCCTGCCTCATGAGCTGGGGGGAAAGGCAGCTGGAATCGAGAAGGGATCACTAAGAAAATGATGTTTGGAGGGATCAGATGGGAGATGTGTGCTGGAAGTAGGTAAAGGACCAAACCATGATAACCTCTCAGAAACTTTCCATGCTATTTTCCATAATAGCTACACTAGTTTACATTCCCATCAATAATGCACAAGTGCTCTTCTTTGTTTTTGTTTTTTGGTCCACATCTGGCAGTGCTCAGGGCTTACGCCTAGTGGTGCTCATGGTTGTCAGGGTTTGAAACCCGGCTACCGCATGCAAAGCAAGTTGCCCTACCTGCTGTGCTGTCTCTCTGGTGCAAGAGTTCTGTTTTTCTCTACATTTTTGCCAACCTTTGTTATTTCTTATCTGTTTAAAATTGTTTTGATCTTGGGCCACAGCAATAGTACAATGGATAGGGCACTCAAGGTCCGGCATGTAGTTGATCTGGTTTTGATCCCCAGGACTCTGTATGGTCCCCTGAGCTCACCAGGAATGATTCCTGAGCGCAGAGCCAGGAATAAGCCCTGCGCACCGCTGGGTGTGGCCCCCAAACAAAATTGTTTTGGTTTTTATTTGTGGGCCACACTTGGCAATGCACAGAGGCTCTTCCTGGTTCAGTACCCCTGGCAGTGTTCAATAGACTAGTGACAGGGATAAACCCCAGACCTGCATGCAAATATGCAGTTCAGCTCACTGAGCTATTTCTTGCCTTCGTGGTATAGCCATTCTAACATATATGAGATGCAGTTTTTATTTCCATTTCCTTGATGTGTAGTTATTACTGAGTAAAGAAAATTCATGCCCTAAAGAAATATGTGAGCAACCCATCGTGGTTTGCTATAAAGTAAGGAAAGGAAAATACTATGTGTCCCAAAGTGACTCTAGAATGGACCCATGCCATCTTATTTTTTTTCTCCCACTCCCTGAATTTTTAAAAAAAAGTTGGGTATTTGAATTTTTGTTTGGAACCTCTTGATTGCTAGTAAAACTTTTAACTTTATATTGAGCTATAATTTACCTTTTAAATTTGTGTTGATTATTGGGCTGGAGAGAGAACGGCAGGCAATGCTCTTGCCTTGTACACAGCCAACCCACATTTGATACTCGGCATCCCATATGGTCCCCTGAGCACCACCAGGAGTAATTCCTGAGTGCAGAGCCAGAAGTAAGCCCTGAGCATCTCCAGGTATGTCTCCAGAACAAAATTGTGTTACTGCTTTTTGGTGTGTGTGTGTTTTGTGTCCCTCACCTTGTGGTACTCAGGGCTTACTCCTGGCTCTGGGTTCAGGGATTGCTCTTGGAAGGGGGGACCATATGCAGTAACAGGATTCCAGACAGCTCTATGCAAGGCAAGTGCCTTATCTGCTGTACTATCTGTCCGGCCCTGTTATTTTGTTTTTAAACTTTGCCCCTCTCTCCTTCATCATGGTTAATTGCAGTGATGGGGGAAGACAACCACCCACTAGCCAAACACCCACTACTTTTAGGATTGCTCTTTTAGTTGCAGTGCTTGCATATATTCTTGTTGTCATGCTTTCCAGGGGTCGCTTTGGTGCTCATACATGTACCTTGCGGGGATTGTGCTTTTTTGCCCTTGGTATTCATACATCTTTTCAGTTATGATTATTAACTGGGGATTATAACCCTACTTCAGTTTTAATGTTTTTTAAAAGTATATCTGTTATAGGTATATGGATTTTTTGGGGGGGGGCTTGGAGTCATGCAGAAGCAGTACTCAGGGATTAGTCTTGCTTTTCACTCAGGAATTAACTCCTGGCAGTGCTCAGGGGACCATATGGGATGCCAGGAATCAAATCCGAGTAGGGTTTGCAAAAAAGAAGTGTTTTATCCACTGATTTATCTCTACAGACCCAGATCAATTCTTTTTAATAGAAAGAACCGACTTTGTGGGTGAACAAAACTGTATTCAACTCCAGCCACCAGTTTGCTACTTGTGTTTGAGGCTATATGAGGAAACGTATAGTCTAGTTAAGAATCACCAAACTGGGGAGTGAAGAATTAGTTCAATGAGCTGGAACACGTTTTGCATGCAGGAAGACTGGATTCAGTCCCTAGCACCTCATGTTCCACTGAGCACCATAACGTGACTCAAAAACCAAACAAAAGAATTAGCTTAGTAGGGATGGAGCAATACTATGGTGGGTGGTAGGACACTTGCCTTGCATGCGGTCTATCCATGTTCAATCCCCAATATCCCATATGGTCCTCTGAGCATAATATGAGTGATTCCTGATTGTAGAGCCAGGAGTAACCCCTGAGCACCACCAGGTATGACCGAAAACCACCCCCCAAAAATATAGAAGAAGTAACGTAACTGGGAGGTCAGGGAGATAACTCAAAGGTTTGGAGGGTATGCCTGGCATGGAGTACCTGGGATAATTCATGGCACTTCATGGTTTCCTGAGCACTGCGGGGAGTGCGATTCTGATTTGAAAAATCAAATATAAAAAAAATTTAGATAATTGTGGAATTTTGGGAGGCCAAAAAGGAGAGTACAGTAGGTAGGGTGCTTGCCTCGCACACAGCCAACCCAAGTTCTCTCTCTAGTACTCCATATGGTCCCTGGAACCCCACTGGGGGTGGTCCAAAAAAAAACAAAGAATTTTAATTATTTTACACATAATTGTTTTCTTTGATAGATTTATTTTTATAGTAGCTCAAGCACCCCCCCCCCGCAAAAATTGTGTAAAATATACTTAGAGTTTCTGTATACCCTGTACTACCTCCCCTACTTCATAATCACATGCATAATAACTCGCACTGGTCCTTATCAACATCCCTCACTAGGATGGTACATTTGTTATAATCAGTGAACACATGATTATCACTGAAAATCATAGTTTACATTAGGATTTACTCCTGTATTTGTACATTCCGTAGATTTTTTTTTTTATTGAATCACTGTGAGATACAGTTACAAAGCTTTCATGATTATCTGTCATGCAGTGATCAAACACCTATCCCTCCACCAGTGTGCATTTTTCACCACCAATGTCCCCAGTATCCCTCCTGCCACTCCCACCCCATCCCACCCCCTGCCTCTGTGGCACGTACCTTCCTTCTTACTCAGTCTCTTTGGGGCATCATGGTTTGCAATACAGATACTGAGAAGCCATCATGTTTGGTCCTTAGTCTACTTACAGTACACATCTCCCATTCTGAGTGATCCTTCCAACCATCATTGACTTAGTGGTCCCTTCTCCTCCCAACTGCCTTCTCCCCCAGCACACAAGGCAGGCTTCCAAACCATGGAATGATTCTCCTGGCCCTTTTCTCTACTGTCCTTGGGTGTTAGTCTCATGTTATTTTATCTTTCACAAATCAGTGCAGTCTTTCTGATTCATTTCACTTAGCATAATACTCTCCATGTCTGTCCAGTTACAAGCGAATTTCATGACTTTATCTTTTTTAACAGCTGCATAGTATTACATTGTGTAGATGTCCTTACACATGCTAGGGGAAAAGGGAGCTCAGATAGAGAAGGGAGCACCAAATAAAAGGTGTTGGGAGGATCATCCCAGGATGGGAGAAGCATGCTGAAAGTAGACCATAGACCAGACATGATTGCCACTCAGTGCCTCTTCTGCAAACCACAACACCCAAAAGGAGAGAGAGAACAAAAGGGTATGCCCTGCCACAGAGGCAGGGTGGGATGGGGGGGGGTGAGGGGTGGGAGAGATACTGGGATCCGTGGTGGTGGGAAATGGGCACTGGTGGAGGGATGGGTATTTGATCATTGTGTAATTGAAACCCAAGCACAAAAATTTGTATGTCTAAAACTGTACCTCATGGTGTCTCACTAATAAAAATTAAAAAAAACTAGTGTTATATATTTACCATTGTAGTATAAGAATTCCGGGGCCATAGTGATCATACAGTAGTAGCATGTGGCTGTCCCAGGTTTGATCCCTGGCACAATGTATGGTCCCCTGAGCCCTGCCAGGAGTGATTCTTGAGCAGAGTCAGGAGAATGCCCTAAGCACTGCAAGATGTAGCCTCAAAACAACAAAATCTGAAAGATACCTATTGAGTGATTACAGAATGGCAGAGGAACAAAGGCATGCGGGTCCCGGGGCAGAGATCTCCAAGCCTGCTCGGATCGGGGCTGAGCATCCTCCACCCAGATCCTCCAAATTCCAGTAGGCAGGGGTCACACCCACCAGCTGGCCCCCTGGTGCCGTGTAATCCCATCAACGGCCAAGACTCAGAGACTATAAAACCCAGCTCCCGGAAGCGCGCAGCCGCATTTGCGGCCGTGTGACATCTTATTATCTCATTCATACTTTGGACAAATGGCAGGCTACCGAATGTAACCTGCCCACACGGCAGAGTCTGGCAAACTCCCTGTGGCGTACCCAATATGCCAAATACCAGTAACAATGATGGGTCTCATTCTCCTAACCCTGAAAGAGCTTTGAATATGGCACCTTTTAAAAAATCTCAGGGCTAGGATGAAGGAGACGTTACTGGGGCCTGCTCGAGACAATCAACGAATAACAGGATGGTTGTGATGGTGACAGAATGACAGAATACTGAAATTTCTTCAGAGTAACATTGGAAGAGTGTGAAAGTTGGGATTTAAATGAAACAAGATTGACCACATACTGATAATAACTATAAGTATGGATATCTGTAAAATCATTATTTTAGTGTCTGTGTTGTATATGTTTGAATTTCTCTACCCTAAAAGGCGAATAAGAGTTCAAGTTATAATTGAAGTGTGATTTGGGGGGGGGGGGGCGGTATTAGCATAATTGAATGCCACTGCTCTGGGTGATAGAACATAGACTTCTGGAATTGAGGACTGCAGATAATGGCCTTTTCTTTTTTCCATTTTATAGGACCTGAGAGTCAGTATACTAAGACTGCTCAGGAAATTGTGAATGTCTGTTACCAGACATTGACTGAGGTAGGTGGTAAAGAGGAGGTTCCCTTGAGATCCTGTTAATTAAATGGAAAATCTTATCTTACTTCCACCCTGCATCTCATTTTCTTCCCTGTTGATTTTTCCTACCTAGTACTAAATGTTATTTCAACAGACTATCTCTATGGAAGCACCATGAAATGGATTTTGCCTCCTTTTTTTTATCCCCAGTGCTTGAATCACATGTGAGCTGAATTCACTTAATTTCTTTATTTCCCAGTATGATGAACATTTGACTCAACTTGAGAAGGATATTTGTACAGCTAAAGAAGCAGCTTTGGAAGAAGCAGAATTAGAAAGCTTGGACCCAATGACCCCAGGGCCCTATACACCTCAGGTGAGTTTGAGGACTAGGAGACTGCTCTTACAGTTTTCTTAATGGTTTGGGAAATTGGGAGCAGTTAACAGATGTATTTACTGAGATACCCTTCTTCTCTGTCCTTCCTCTTCATATGCCTTTCGTGTGTGCTTTCTTGTCTTCTCAAAGGCTAAGGTGAGTGAGGACCATGGATTTTGGTGGCATTCTTGAATCCAGAAAAGGCAGGTGTGAGATGAATGAGTGGGGTGGTGTCTTTGTTGTTCACACAGTATTTGGGAATACTGGATTTCCTACTGCCTTTGGCCAGAGCACTTTTCTGAGTCGCTGGAGCTCCCGTAGCCCTGTTGGGATTCTAAGACATCCCTTAATGTAGACCTGGGCTATATTAGATAGAGACATGGAGCACATTTTTCCTGTGCCTCATAGGTGCCTCACTACTCCTTCCTTCAGAGATATCTCAATATAGTTCAGCTGTCACCTATTTTCCTCAATTGACTTCTTGCAAATAAAGGAAGCTAATATTTAAAACGTTCTTAAATTTATATCTTAAAAAGCTATCACAATTTTATAGATATAAACTTATAAAGTATACTTTGTAAGATTTTCAGTCTTTCAACTTGGACCCTTAAATATACTGGGAGTGTATTTCATAGAGACCTGGCATATTTGAAGAATAGGGCTTCCTAGAATATATCTGATGCTTGCTTTCTGTATTGGAGACATTATGGTAGAATGTACATAACGTTTGTCATAAACATAGGTCTGGGTTTGAGTCTTAGCTCTGCTACTATCTAGCTTGGTGAACTTGGAAAATTTACCTAACCTCTCTGAGTTTCCTTTTCTCTAAAATGTATTTTCAAGGTTGTTGTAAAGATTAAACAAGTCAATTTGCAAACCTATAGTAGGCATCCAATAAATGTTTTCTTATCTGTATGAAAATTATCTACAAATTTCTCCAGCCCTTTCGAATTTAAGTGGAATTCTTAATGCAGTATTCTCTTAATTTCCATGAGATTTTTTTTTATTCTACTTAGTTTTCATTTTCAACTGATACGCAAAATGCGTAATCTCTGCTAGGTTTTTACTCTATATCTCATTCATGAACTGTCTTTTATTTTTCTCTTTTATCCCATAACTCAGGTTTCTGAGCAGTCAAGTATAAAAAACTAAGATACTTACTTTCAGACCCAGAATGAGGAAAGGCTCTTGGAGTATGTGGGCATATTGGGTTGGGAGGCTTGGCTAAGTGATGTTACCTAGAAAGGCCCTATTTGTTCATAAGCCCCAGTTTCCACAAAGCCCCTTCTGGTAATTCTTTAGTCTTTCTAAAAACTCCTGGGTTTTTAATCATTGTTACCCAGGAGAACCTAGCCACTGAGTGGCACATGATTTGTTGCCATATGTGACATTCAAAGCCTTAGACCCAAAAGTCCACTTCCTTTCTTCTCCGTTCCTCCCAAAAGTGAACTCAACTGGCTGAGGGAAACCTGGCAACTGCTTTCCTTCCTGAGCATTAGCTGTTGCTTGGTACAGTTACAGAAACTTCTGTAAAGAGTAATAATTTAGCAGTGTCTTTTCATAATTCTAATTTACCTTTTCTCATATATATATATATATATATATATACGTAAAATATTAAACCCAGGACTGGAGATGTAACTCAGTGGTAGCTTGCTGCCTGGCATGTATAAGACCCTGGAGTCAGTACTACCTGGCACCACCAAAATGAATGAGTGAATGAATGGAGTAGTAAATTCATTTCATTAACCTTTAACCTAAGCAAGATGCACATAAGTGATTGTTCTTATTTATTTACTATTCTCAAACCCAACTGTTAATATTAGTTTTTGCGTAAGATCAGCCTATCATAATTCCTGTTGTATTAGAAATACAGCAGGAATCATTTTATTTCCACCTAGCTTGAATTGCATTGTACATTCAGCTTAACATTTTACCTAAAATTGTTTACCTTTCAGTTTTTCCTACAGTCTTTCATTCCTTAATTTTTTTCTGTTTCACAGTTTATATGTTGTGTAGTGCTTGGGATTGCTTTGCTCTCATTCTCTAAAACCCTCATCTCAGCCAGTCTGCTTGTTTGTTTTTAAAAGAAACCACAAAGTTAACATGTGCAGTTTTGTTGACAAAAGTAACGTTATGTTTATTGGGAAAACTAGTAAATATAAAAATATAAAGAAGGTAAGTGACCTAGGATCAGGTCTGCCTTTCTGGGGGAATTCTGAACATTTTTGGTGTTCTTTTGAAGTGTGTATGTGGTAGCTGGCTTGCTTGCTTGCTTTCTTTCTTTCTTTCTTTCTTTCTTTCTTTCTTTCTTTGCTTTTTGGGGTCACACCCAGTGATGCTCAGGGGTTACTTCTGACAGCTCTCAGGAATTACTCCTGGTGATGCTTGGAGGACCATATGGGATGCAGGGGATCAAACCCAGGATCAAAATACCTACCCACTGTACTATCACTCCAGGCCACCATGATGGGTTTCTTGTGTGTGTGTGTGTATGTGTGCATATGTGTGTGCATGTGTGTGCACACGCACATTTATAGACATACTTTCATTTATTTTGCATTGTAGGGATCAAACCCCAGGCCTCCCACATGTGGGTTTACACTCTACCACTGAGCCACATCCCCAGTCCTAGACATAATTTTAATGTGAGATTGATCGATACAATTTTGTCTTGTTTTTTTTTTCACTTCATTTTATTGTGAGCATTTTATTTAGTCTTTGAACACAGGAAATATTTTGACCAAGTCAGTGTCTTGTCTTTTTTTTTTCTTATACCAGGGATTGAACCACTGATCTACCTCCCTTGCTTTCCTACTTCTCCAACATGATCTTACTGTCCCTCCTGTCATTCTGTCATTGATTATTGAAGAGACCTAATATTTATTGAATAACAGGCATTAAATAAGGAGCTTCCACATTTCTTAATTTTCCCAACAACCTTGTGAGGTAGCCGTTTTCCATATTTTAATAGTTGAGGAAACCAAAGCTTAGAGGGATTAACTGATTCATAAATTCAAGTTCTTCAGCTAGCAAGTGATAGAGCCAGAACTCAAACTCGGGCAGCTTATTCCAAAGTCTGTGGATTTTTACCATGTCATTTTGCCCCATAGCGGCATCTTCTGATGAACTCATATGCTATTAATCATTCTATACTCTTGTTGGAATTGAAATCAAACAAAAAGCACTGGTATGTACCCGTTGGCCTAAGAACAATAAGACAAGGCTTAGAAGAAACTAGGTTATTGAATGACACAAAAATTTGTTAGGACATAGAGTTTTCCCTTAGCTTGGATGCTTTTTCTGCTTTGGGCATTTTATTATATTTATATATAAATACTTATATGATAAGTTTAGTTCTTGTGTAGCAGCTGCCTCTCTACTGGAATGAGCAACATTTGTAAAATCCCCAAAAACCTTTCCATAAAACTACATCAGACTACATTTTTTTCCTTTTTAAGTGGATTGCTATGCATGTCCTTTATCTGTGGTGAATGTTCTAAAGGGGACTTATCTGTATTTCTTACTTCCTTTCCCTAAACAGAAGCTAACTTGTGTAATTTGTGTCATAGCCTCCTGATTTATATGATAACAACACATCCCTCAGTGTGTCTCGTGATGCCTCTGTATTCCAAGATGAGAGCAATATGTCTGTCCTAGATATTCCTGCTGCCTCTCCAGAAAAACCAGTGATACAGGTAGAATATTCTTTTTCTTTTTGTGATATGCTTTGGGGTGGGAATGGGCAAGTGGTAGTGATGATAGAAGATAGATATCAAAGATGATGGAACCTCTTGGCCCTGGGAAGAAGACTTAGAAATATTTCAATATTGGGATCATGGCATGCCACATGGTTGACATTGTCTTTTGTCTGTGCCCAGGGGCTTAGTCAGGCACAACAAAACTTTGGTACAGATGTTGGAAATTTTGCATATGAGGTATCAAATCTACATGTGACTAGAAAAACCAACAGTATTCTGAGACAGAGTTCAGGTTATGCCCTGCTTCTTTTACTGTGTGTATGTTATAATCTAAATTAAAATCATTAGACTCCTGTAAATAGCCTTTTCCAACATTATCAGAAGATACTTCTTTGTGTGAGTCTGTGTGTGTTGGGCTGGGAGGGTCACACTTGCAGGACTTACTCTTGGCTCTATGGTCAGGTAATCACCGTTAGCAGAGCTCAGGAGAACATATGGTGTGCTGGGGATTGAACCCAGGTCAGCTGCATGCAGGGAGAAACCACCTTACCCACTGTATTATTTGGCCCCAGAAGATACTTCTGATCTGAAGCCATAAAAACTGTCAGCTGATCACAATCAGGTATCTACTAGAGAATGTAAAACACGCAAAGAGTTTTTTGGTGCCTCTCAGAACTAGCTAAGGAATACTTGTGTTCAAAAGTATGAATTGAACAGAGGATGTTGCTCACTTGTAGAGCATTTGCAGTGCATTTTGAAGCCGTGATTCAATCCCCAACACTACAAAATAAAAAGAAAGGAAGAAGAGTCTCCTTGTGATTATGTAAGAGATCCAAAGATCACTAAGTACATCTGTGAGGCTCTTTGTTTTATAGTTTTTTTGGGAGGGGGTGGTTTGGGCACCTGGAGGTACTCGGGCTATTTCTGGCTCCCTGCTCAGGAATGACCCCAGGCTGTGCTCTGTGAACCATATGTAGTGCTGGGAGTCAGCCACATGTAAGGCAAGTGCTTCACCTTCTGTGCTACTTCTCTGGACTTGTTCTCTATTTTTCTTTAACTCTGTCCATGACTTTCAGAGAATAAATGGGGCAAAATATTCCTGTGTATACAAACCAACTACTTGTGGAGTTGACTTGGGAGGGGTTGGACCACACATGGCAGCACTCTGACTGTTCCTGGCTCTGCTTGGGAGTGATCCCTGGCTGTGCTCATGGGACTATATGAGATGCTGAAAATAAGATCAGAGTTAGCCATATGCATGGCAGGTGCTTTCCCTCCTCAGCTATCTCTCGTCCCTGTTATTTGTTTAGTTTTTTTTTTATCCTATCAATTATATTCAAGGAATGAGGGAAAACACATATACTTTGAGCTGTGTATATAGTTCCCACTAGCTTGATTGACTGGGGGAGTTTGGGCCACACCTGATAGTATATGGGGGCTATTACTGGCTCTGTGTTCAGGAGTGACCCCTGGTTATGCTCAGGGACCACATGTGATGCTGGGGATATACGGCATATACAGCTGCATATACGGGAAGTACCTTAACCCTGTACTCTCTCTCTCCAGCCCTGTTCTTTGTTTAATCCTATTTCATGATTTTCAGAGAATGAATGGGGGCAAAAACACATGCCCTGAACTATGTATACAGCTTCCACTAACTTAAGGGTTGACTCAAAGGGAAGCATCCAGCTTGAGTGAGAGCCCTTGGTTAACTTCTATAAGTACATCCCTCACGATATGCTCTTTGTGTTCCGTAGGTGCACCAGGGCTGAGATAGGCTGGGCAAGGAAATCTAAGACTTTCAGCCCTGCTGAGTATGCTATAGAAAGCTTAAGAATGATATTATACCCTAAATGATAGAAGCTCTAACAAAATAGGACAGATCAAGTCACAATTCATATTAGAGGGTCTCCATAGAGGTCTATTAAGACTTACTTAACCCAGGACCTCACACACACAAGACATGTATTGTACTGCTGAACTGTAGCTTCAGCAACATCCTTCCCCCACACACACCCAATCTAATTTTACTCTGTGGAACCAGCTAGCTAAATAAATCTCAAAAATTGCTTCTTGTTAGGCAGCAAGGGTGACTGGTAGTGATTTCCTCTGGCTTCTTCCTTGCTTGATTGATATAACTTGGACCTCAACTATTCTCATTTAGGAAGGTGAAGATGCAGATGGTGATCTAGCAGATGAAGAAGGAACTGTGCAACAAACTCAAGCCAGTGTCCTATATGAGGATTTGCTTATGTCTGAAGGAGAAGATGATGAGGAAGATGCTGGAAGTGATGAAGAAGGAGATAATCCTTTTTCTGGTAAGTTTTGTTCCTCGGCTTTTGTTCTTATGTATCTCACAGTAGCACCCTTTGGGCTGGATAGGAGACTCTTGACAACATATGTTAATTGCCAGAAGGTTCTCTTTTTATTGAAGTACCATTAATGTTTCTCAGAATACTTATAAGATAAGCAGATTATTTAATCTCAGAGAAATTTAAAAAATCCAACACAGGCACTATAGGACTGGAGCAATAGCATAGTAGGTAGGACGAATGCCTTGTACATGTCTGACCCAGGTTCAATTTCTAGCACTCCATATGGTCCCCTGAACACTGCCAGGAGTAATCCCTGAGGGCAAAGCCAGGAGTAACCCCTAGCATTGCCGGGTATATCCCAAAAAACAAACAAACCCAGGAACTATAAAAGGTAACAGTGGGAAAGGAAATGCCAAGGTAGAGAGAGATATTTAGGTTTGCTTGTGGCAGGCCTTGGTTTAGTCCTTGGCATTTGAGTCCCTAAATTGAACCACTGGCCCAGTTACCTAAGAATCACTGGGAGGGTCCCTGGGTCCGCAAGAATCACTTGGGATTCCCCACTTCCATGTGAAAAAGGCAAGGCCCTAAGTACTTGATAAAGATGAAGAAGGTGTTAGTTGTAGCAACAGAGAAGAAAATTTAAACGTAAAGATCTTGCTTTGTGCTGTTTCATGGGTTGGTGGCAGTGGCAGGGAAAAGAGAGGGAGAGATGATTAAAGAAAAACAGGTTGAGCTGAGGTGAAAAGGGAAAATGATTAATTTTATTTTCAAAGTATGTATTTAAAAAAATTGGAGGGCTAGAGGGGGCTGGAGCAATAGCACAGCAGGCAGGGCATTTGCCTTGCACACGGCCAAACCGGGTTCAATTCCCAGCATCCCATATGGTCCCCTGAGCACCACCAAGGGTAAGTCCTGAGTACAGAGCCAGGAGCAATCTCTGTGTGTCACTGGGTGTGACCTCCCCCCAAAATAGAGGGCTACACTCAACGGTATTCAGAGCTTTCTCCTGGACTCACGGATCACACCTGGTGGTGCTCAGGCGAGCATGTGCAATACCAGGGATTGAACTGCTGGCCACATGCAAGACAGGCGCCTTTTCCACTGTACTATCTCCAGCACCTAAACTATGAATCTTGCCAGTGTTGATCCTAGGCAGTTAAAAGAAGGGACTTCCAGGTTGAGTCCAGACAAGATGCCTAAGTGGAAGTAAGTGGTTTTGGAGGACAAAGCCAGTGATGTTAATTCTGTCAAGCTTATCTCAAGATCTGTCTCTTTTCAAGCAATCCAGCTGAGTGAAAGTGGAAGTGACTCTGATGTGGGATCTGGTGGAATAAGATCCAAGCTGCCACGCATGCTTCAGGAGAACACAAGGATGGGCATGGAAAATGAAGAAAGCATGATGTCCTATGAGGGAGACGGTGGGGAGGCTTCCCATGGTTTGGAGGATAGCAATATCAGGTAATCGGCAGCAACATGTTACAAATCATGGCATCAGTGCCCACCTATCATATCAAAGGGCCCAGCATCAGATTATTTTCATCTATCAAATAGTTCCTGAGCACTTACACAGCCAGGTACTGTGCTAGGCTCTTGGGGATACACAGCAAAGGATATTCTGTCCTTGAGATCACATTCTAGTGAAAGAGACTGATACACAATAATCACAAATACAGTGCTATATATGTCATTGCATAAGTTAAGAACAGAGTGCCAAGTCACCACTGAGGAAGGAGTGTCTCACTCTGCTTGGTGTGATTAAACAAAGTTTCACAGATGAGGGAACATTTAAATTTGAATTTAGCCTTATAGGATGGTGATGAATCTACTAAGTAGATCTAATGGCAGATGAAGAGATCCTTAAAGATAGAACAATATATTCAAATGTACAGAAACATAGCACATATATTTCAGAACAGAGGGAGGTTATTATGAGTCATGGCTCTAGAAGTAGGAAGGGAATATATTGTAAAAGACCTTAAATAGCATTTGGGTTTGGGATCATGGGAATAATCACTTTAAAGAAAAGGAAGTAGCATCACATTTGTGTATTAAATAACTCGAGGGCAATGAGAAACTTCATAACTAAGATTTTTTAGGAATGAGGTGTGAAGGAAGAGCTGTTTCAAGGCCTCTGTGTAGAGTATCAGTTGCCTTTAGGAGGTGAAGGCATCAGATAGGTTTAATAAATGGGAATGTGACTGAGATAGGGAAGAGAAAGTACAAATGTTAGATGGGATGGGAAAGGAAAGTAAACTTGAATTGTCTTTGGACATGTTGGAATTAAGCTACATTTGATAAATAGATTTGATACATAGAGGCAGAGGTATCCAGCATTATATATGACAAGGACAAATGCACTAAGATGTGGTCCCTTTCTTCAAGGAACTCAGTTTAGTGGGAAGCCTAAACAAGTAAACAAGTAATCACTGTGTAATATAAAAAGTATCATCATAAACAATTATGAGGGGGGTTTATCAGTGGGTAGGGTACTTACTTGCCTTGCATATATCCAACCTGGATTCAATACCCAGCACCATATATGGTCCCCTGAGCCTATCAGGAGTAAATCCTGAGCACAGAGCCAGCCATAAACCCCCAACCACCATCACGTGCAAACAAGAGATAAGTATGAAATTTTCTTGGGATTTGGGTAGAATAAAGTTGGGGGGCTGGTTTAAAGTATGGGAGGAGGGAACCAAGCTCAACCAGAATAGAAATTAGATGAAAGAGAGAAAAAAGGTACTCCAGAGAGCAAAAATAACATGTATGAAGACTGAAGCTTCTAGCTCAGTGTGATTAGATCCATGTGATAGAGACAATGTAATAGGAGATACGTAAGAACCAGATCGAGAAGGGCCTAAGGATTTAGGGCAGATACCAACTTAGAATAATATGATCAGATCTACATTTGTAAAGATTGTTCTGTGCTCCTTCCAAAAAATAGGCAACAACTCATCAAGAAATACAAGTGGATAATCTATATATGAAAAAAATTCCTGAAGAATCAAGCATAAACAGTGAATTATAAATTTTGCCTATAAGATTGTTAGTCATTCAGACAAATGCCCAGTGTTGGAAAAGCTGTGAAGAAAGATCTCAAAAAACTGATATTAATGTAAATTGATAAAATGGGGTATGAAGGAGAAAGGTATAATAATTTAGAATTATAACTCAGAAACTTTAAAATAGCACATTTTAGCCCCAAAAGTTCATGTCTAGGAACTTATTCTATGGGAATAATAAACCATTTTTATCAAGATGTTTGTACAAGGATGTTTATTATAGTATTGTTTCTAATAGTTGGAGAATTGAAGCCAACTTAAATGTCTGAAAGACTGTTAAGTCATGTTATAGCACAACAGTGGAGTACCATCTAGGTTTTTAAATGATGCTGCTATATGTCTATTGATGTGCAAAGATGTCAATTATAATCGTAAGTGCAAAAAGCAGATTCCTGTAGAATATTTCAATTTTGTAAATAAAAAAGGTGTTTAAACATCTAAGTGAAATGCATAGAAGAAAATTTGGAAGGTCATAGACCAAAAGATTATCTTTGGGTGATGGAGTTATTGGTAAATTTTTCTTTTTTGGTGTATATTCTTTTTTGAAACTCATGAACATGCATTACTTGTATGATTTTTTAAAGCTAAAGTAAGAATAAACAAACAAACAAAAATGAAGAGCACTCTGACAGAAGTGTGAAGAATTAATTGAATGGGAAAGCAAGACTGGAAGCATATGAAGACTAATTTCAGTAGTGTAAGCCAGAGACAAAAGGACTAAACCAAGGCAGGCAGAGTAAGGATAGTAAGGAGAGACAAATTGAAGATGTGAAACTTTTGGTCCTATTTACCAATTGAAAACACAGATGAATGAAGCTGTGTGTGTAGAGTGAAACACTGAGCAGTCTGTAGACAGGCAGTACATTTTTCAGAACTAAAGAAGTTTCTTCCATTTGGGATCTTAAGTAAATAAGGTTAGTGAGTAGAAGTTTTTGATAGGATGATTTTTCTCTTGGTGACCCTTAGTTCAGTCCAGAACCAATTGTTTTAGTGTCCAGGGGAATTGAATGTGCTGATCCCTTAGTGGCACCAAAAACGGGACTGGTGGGGCTGAAGAGATAGCACAGCGGGTAGGGTTCTTGCCTTGCACGTGGCGAACCCAGGTTTGGTCCCTGGCATCCTGTATGGTCCATTTCCCCCACCCCCAGCATTGCCAGGAGTAATTCCTGAGTGCATAGCCTGGGATAACCCCTGAGCATTGCCGGGTGTGCTAGCCACCTCCCCCCCCCCCCCCAAAAAAAATGGGACTGGTCAGCTAGAAGATGGTGCCCGAGCTTGAGAGATGACATGTTTCTCTTCTCAGTTATGGGAGCTATGAGGAGCCTGATCCCAAGTCGAACACCCAAGACACAAGCTTCAGCAGCATCGGTGGGTATGAGGTATCAGAGGAGGAAGACGATGAGGAGGAAGAGCAGCGCTCTGGGCCGAGCGTACTAAGCCAGGTCCATCTGTCAGAGGACGAGGAGGACAGTGAGGATTTCCACTCCATTGCTGGGGACAGTGAGTTGGACTCTGATGAATGAGGCTTCCTTTGGGCCTCCTTGGTCAGCCTTCCCTGTTCTCCGGCCTAGTTGATAAACCTTTCCCCAAATTGTTTATATTCATTACTAAGTAAATGATAATCTCTTCTGGTCTTCCTGGGGGCAATATCACCCTTTGATTTACAACCAGGTAGCCTCGTTCCCTTTGCACTAACAAAAAGCGCCATTTCCTCCTCCAATGTCCTCCTTTAACTCCGTTAACTTTAACTTTATTGTTCTTGTTACCATTTTTACCCTGGTGAAAGAGGAGAAATTATGAAACGACTAATACATTTATGTCCTCTTTCTGTGCTAGAAATACTCCGAGCATGGTATTATCTCAGTTTTCTAATTTGCAGGCTGGAGCAAATGACAGAATTCTGCTGGGTTCTGGTGGATGCTTGCCACAGTAGAAAACAAACCTATCGGACTATGCCATTTGTCAGTGCCTTGTTCCTAAATGTATTTGAGGGAAAGGACTATAAATCTTAAAGCAACCTATATGTCAGAAATGATATGTTGCCATGTAAATGTGTTCTGTCCGTCCCCCAACACCTCACACACCTAGGATTTTAAAATAGTAGGAAAATGGTAAGTGTCTTAGGGCAAACAAAGACCGTCTTCTGTTTCTTTTCATGCTAAGGATATAGTTCCGTGCAGAGTACATACTCAGTAAATGTTCCTAAAATTATGAAATTCTCAACAAGTTTGTCATTGAACATCTGCTCTATAATAAGCACTCTACCAGATCCTTGGGATGCAAAGACACAATTCTTTTGTGTAAAGAGCTCACCATTGAGTGGAATTGAACCATGTTAAAAATCATTGAAGTACTGTCAGATAAGTGCAATTAAGAAGTTAGATATCAAGTATAGGAAGAAATAACGGAGTGAGTAATAATGTTTGAAAAAGTCAGATGAGTCTTCTCAGAGGTAACTTTTAAGCTGAATTTTGAAGAGTTAGGTAAAGCTTGCTAGATGGAAAAGTCTAGACAAGAGTGTAACTTGAAGCAAAGTGGCAGAAATATAGAAGTGGCAGAGTGTGTTCCTAGTTTGTTTGTTTGTTTGTTTGTTTGTTTGTACCTGCCTTGTTCCAGGAAAAAAGTTATTTATATTCCAGTCTTTTTACGCTGGAGTAGCTAGTGATCAAACTAAAGATGGGCAATTAGTATATCATAAAGAACTTTGCATTTTATGCCAGTGTGAATTTTATTTAGAAGTTGTGGAATAATGTTGTATTGATGTCTTTTTAAGAAATTTCTGTATAGCAAATGAAGAAATTGAAAAATCTTTGTAATGGACAGTGTGATCCCTTTTTTATGAAAGACAAAAAGTATGTGTACTTGAATATGTTTATATCTGCTTGTATATGAATAGGAAAAGGTCTGAAAGGAATATACTGAACTGTTCATAGTGGTGACCTGGGGATGGGGGAGGGGGCTATGTCAGCTGAGTGGGTGTTTGATTTCTGTGTTGTTTTAACTTTTTATGAGTGTATTTTTTTAATAAAATTTTTATTATATCAGTGTGGTGTGGAGCTTGGTTTGAAGGGGACTGAATCTAGTTCAAGGGAGGACTACTGGAGATGGGAATCAGTGGGTTCAATTGGACTTTTAAGAGGTAGAATCAAAGGAGTCAAAAAATAAATAAAAAGTGATTGTTGGAATAAATATGCACAAGGCTCCATTATGAGAAGAACATGTTTTACATCTCTGATTATGGAGTAAGAATGGGAAAGCTTTATAAAGGAAGCTCTATTGGGGGAGAGGGGTTCACAAAAATTAGAGTTTTTTCCCTTGCATGTCTTCTTATTGACATAATTATATAATTACTAGCAATGGCTAAAGAGAACAGCAATATTTTGGGGTTTGGGCACCCATATCCAGTAGGGCAAATTGGCTATTCCTGGTTCTGTGCTTAATGATCACTGCTGGTGGTGTTCTAGAGACCATATGTGGTACTGAGGATCAAGCAAGTCAGCCGTGTGTGTGGCAGGAACCTAACCATCTGTGTTACCTCTCTATCCCATAAAGGAGTCTCCTGAGATAGAATAGGGAAGCGTTTGCCAGAGTCACAGAGGAATGTTATAGGCAAAGAACAAAAATACTTGGGAGCATGTAATACATAGTTCAGAAAACATGTAGAAAAATATATAGGGAACATATGTAGTATGGTGATTACAAGACTCAGGTTTAAATGCTCAGTTTTGGAGAAACCCCTCTGGCAGCAGATGGAATATGGAGGTGTGGTACCAGATGAATGATGATGGAGCCTTTACAGTGGAATCAGCTTGCGACTTCAAGCTCGTGTTTTCTTGAATACATATTTCCTCTCTCCTTAGATCTTTCTAAATAAGTTTCATTCTCAGGGGGTTAGAGTGATAGTACAACAGTTGAGGCATTTACCTTGCATGTGGACAACCCAGGTTTGATCCCTAGTACCACGTACTGTCCCCTGATCACTGTAAGCCCTGAACATTGCTGGGTGTGGCCCAAAACCAAAAGGTTTTGTTCAACAAAAAAATCTTGTGGGGCCAAGGGCTGGAGCAATAGCACAGCAGGTAGGGCATTTGCCTTGCACACGGACGACCTGGGTTCGATTCCCAGCATCCCATATGGTGCCCCAAGCACCGCCAGGAGTAATTCCTGAGTGCATGAGCCAGGAGTAACCCCTGTGCATCGCCGGGTGTGACCCAAAAAGCCAAAAAAAAATCTTGTGGGGCCAGAGCCATAGTACAGTGAGTAGGGCATTTGCAGTGACAAGGGTTCAATTCCCAGCATCCCATATTGTCCCCTGAGCAACACCAAAAGTAACCCCTGAGCATCACTAGGTGTGACCCAAAAAGCCAAAAAAAAAGTTTTAGGTAAAATTTAGGGGCCAGAGAGATAGTACACCAGGTAGGTCGTTTGCCTTGCACACAGCTGACCCAAGTCCAATTCCCGGCATCCTATATGGTCCCCTGAGCACTGCCAAGAGGAATCTCTGAGCATTGCCAAGTGTGACCCAAAAAGCAAAAAAAAAAGTAAAATTTAAAAATCTTGCTTTATTAAAAAATCTAAATCATGCAATTTGCTGCCATGTGGATAGATATGAAGAGTATCATGCTGAGTGAAATTAGAGGATGGGGCAAGAGTGATCAGATCAGTGGTAGAACAATTGTCTTGCATGTAGTCAACCTGATTTTTTTTATCCACAGTAAACCATATGGTCCCCTGAGCCCACCAGGAGTGATCCCTGAGCACATAGTCAGGAGTAAACCCTGAGTGTTGCCAGATGTGGCCCCAAAACAAAAGAAATTAGAAGAATAAGGACAGACACAGAATGATGTCTTTCATATGTGGAATATAAAGAACCATAGTAGGGGAATAACATGCCCAAAGGCAATATAATCAAAAGAACATGAGAACTGGTCTTCAGTAGGAAGTTTGGGGTGCTGGGGACTAGGAAAGAAATACTCCTACAATGATGGGGGGAAGTTATTCTGGAGGAGATGATGCAGAAAGGTAATAAAGTGATATGCAGTATACCCTATCAGTAACAGTACTGTAAAGCACAGTGCCTAAAGGGGATAAAATCGCCTGCCACAGAGGCAGAAAGTGGGATGGGCTGGAGACTGGTAGAGGGAAATAGACACTGGTGAAGGGGTTGGTGTACATTGTACGCCTGAACCCAATCATGAATATCTGTAATTAATGGTAACTCTAAAATTTTTTTAAAGTTTAAGGGGCTGGAGCCATACTACAGTGGGTAGGCATTTACCTTGCACAGGGCTAAACCGGATTCAATTCCCAGCACCCCATATGTTCCCCTGAGCTCACCAAGGAATAATTTCTGAACACAGCCAGTAGTAAGCCCTGAGCACTGCCAGATGTGCCCCCCCCAAAAAATTTAAGAAGCAAAGCTGTATGAGGCAGAGAGTAAATTTCCCTCTATCCCTTAAGTTCTAGGGCTAGTTGCACCATCAAGTGAACAGATCAGTAGGAGAAAAGGACAAATTTAATTGCATATATGTGGGGAATTCACATATAGATTCTACAATATAGATTCAGTGGTACAAGACTATATGTATATATATAGAGATATTTTATATATGTATATATATAATTTTCTCAGTTATGGAATGGCATAGGGTCCTGACACTTCAAAGAGAGAAGAGGGAAATGTATATGATAAAGACCAGATTCTGTGTTTAGTTTGCTAGCTGAAAGTTGATTTGGGCATGGGAGTACTACTGAATAGTATTCCAAATTTTAATTTTTCCAGGCAGTTGAGGGTAAACATCATTTGTGGACTGGAAGGGTAGTACAGAAGGTTAGGCACTTGCCTTGCATGTAGCTTTTGTAGTCTGTGACCCAGTGTCAAGTCCCTAGTATCACCTATGATCCCCTAAGTACTGCCAGGTAGAGCCCGATAACACCCCCCCTCAAAAAAATTTTTATCATTTGCCTGCAGAGCCTCAATTAACCTTTTTAACCTTCTTAACCTCTTCTTGCGTAATCCACATGCCCAGGTGATGCATCTTGGAAAGACCTGTCTGAACTCCCTGAGAAGGCCTATCTTCAGCTGTAAAAGTTAAGAAAAAAAGTAAAAAGTTTCTGGAAGATAAGCTTGCTTGTACATAGGCTTAGGGAGGGGTTGAGGAGTGCCTGCCTTGCAGGCACCAGGCCACAAATTTAATCCCTGGCATCAGCCCACATGCTGAGTGCAATTCCAGGCACACAAATGTGTGATACAGCCAGGAAACCAAGAACACAGCCCCAGACAAGTACCACAACCAGTGTATAAGCACTTCAGCCAAGTGTATGTCGCCTCCAGTCATTGTGACATCAACAAGGGAAAGGGGGGAAGGAATGAAATTAGGACCTGGAGTGGTAATGCAGAGCATAGAGCATTTTCCTTGCATAAGGCAACCCAGGTTTGATCCGCATCACATCACATCACATCACAGTTCCCCAAGTCTGTCAGAAGTGATCCTGAAGGACAGTGACAGGAGGAAGCCTTGAGCACTATTGGGTATAGCTCAAAAACAAAAAAAAATGAAATTAAAAGTATGGGAATAGGGACAAGAGAGATAGTAAAGTGGGTAGAGTGGTTGTTTTACACACAGCTTGCCTGGGTTTGAATCCAGCACCCCGTGTGGTCCCCTGGGCACTGCCAGGAGTGATCTTTGAGTGCAGAGCAGAGGAGTAATCCTTGAGTACAGCTGAGTGGGACCCAACCCCCCCCCAAAATCTACTAGAATAAAATATGTGTGAAGTATTTTTTTAAAATACACTACCTATATACTTAAGAGAGAATTCAATGGGCTGAGCTCATGCATTGTTTGTGGGTGACATGAGTTTGATCCCCAGGACCACATAATCCCCCAAACACAGCCAGATATGACTGCCAAACACCTCTAGGTATGCCCTTGGCTACCACCATAAAAGAGAGACATCTAGAAAAAGGACAGAAAGGCCTGTTGAAACAGAAGAAATATCAGCTAGACTAGGTGGAGAAATTTGCCTTAGGAGAAGAGATCTTTCCCCCTGAGATAGAAGGATGGAATGATGTAGATAAAAGGAGATAGGAAGTTTGTGGAATTCACACTTACAGTTTTCCTTTCCTCTATGAAAAAGATAAGATCATCCTTGTGAGAAAAATGAAAATACAGTGGAGAGATAGTACAGAGGTTAAGGCCTTTCTTTGCATGTTGATGACCCTAATTGAAACCCAGTGCCATATATAGTCCCCTGAGCTACTCCAGGAGTGATCCCTGAACACAGAGCCAGGAGTTACTGGAGCACCACTGGGCATGGCACAAGAGAAACAAAATTAAGATAAGATGAAAGCTTGATTTAAAAGGTTTTTGTTTATTTTTGGGCCACTCCCACCTCAGGGCTTACTCCTGGCTCTGCCCTTAGGAATTACTTCTGGTTGGGTTCAAGGGACCATTTGGAATACTGGAGATTGAACCAGGTTCAGCATGCAAAGCAAGCTGTACTATCACCCTGACTCTGAATTAAAGTATTAAGGGACTGAGGAGATAGTAGAAGAGTTAGGGAACATGTGCCCAGTCCCAGACACCACATGGTCTTTTGAGCGTCACTAGGTGTGGCCCTGCAGTCCCCTGAGAATTACTGAAGGGTAACCCTGGTGGTTCCCGCACCACAAGGCCTGCTCAACACCAAATCCCCAGCTCCAAGCATTAAAATGGAAGGGTGGTTGGCCAGTTAGCCAAGTATTGCTGGAAGTGGCCCCTGGGTCTCCTGAGCACTGATTGGGAATCACCCCACAAAAAAAATTGAATTACTTGGGCCTGAGATATGGCTGGAAAGTGGTAAAGCACACATCTGGCATGTGTGAGCCAGAATTTAGTCCCTGTGTTGCATGGACCCATAGCACTGCTGTGTGCAACCCTGGTGGCCACCAGTATTAAACCACTGGGCATGCATGGCTGGTCAGCATCACTGGAAGTAACCCCTGGACTTCC